TATATATATATATATGTATAAATAACTTCAAGTATGGAAAAGAGGGAGAGTATTTGTACATCCAAGATGTACAAATACTTTTTTTTTTATTTAGAGCTAGAAACCAAAGAAGAAAAATTCACACCAATTCAAGTTGAATGTGTTCATGAGGGCAGCATGACAGAAACAATGATAACAGCTTATTAGCATGTATAATTGTTATTTATTGCTTCTCTTAATAATACAAAAATACCATAAGAAGATTTTGAAGAGGCACGAAAAGTCATACTTCAACATAAACATCAACATAAAGACATCTACAAAAAAACAAACAAAAAAAAAACTGAAATAGTACAGCATTAATAATCCATCAGTTAGTAATAAAGGTTTCAATATTGTAAAATAATAAAAAACAAAAGAAACTATTATGGATGGATTGATGATAATTCAGAGAATTAAGAACATAGTCATAACTCAACTCTATTATAGATAAATGATATAAAAACAGCATATAGGTCCTATTTCAGACTCTGGAAACATTAATAAAAATGCATCTATTATTTACAGAAAAAGGGGGAACTATTTAATACAGATTACATTCATTAAAAGTCAAATACATTTGTGCTCCACTGGCTCAATGAGAAATGTTAAATATCAAATTTTAAATGTAATAATATTACATTCTACTGTGATAATCTTCAACATGGAACATATCAAAGACAATGTCTTCTATTTCACTTTGGAGTATTCATTGTACTGACATTTCCCATGTGACAGTAACATAACTCACACTTTTCTCCTCCTGTAACTCCGTAAAATATCATGTTCCAAAAAATAAAATATCATGAAAACAAACTGTTACTGTGCGACTGAGTCTTGCAGCACTACCCCCTTAACATGATGCTGTTGCTTACAGATAATGATAATAATGATACACACACTCTCTACATCTGAAAGCAGGAAGCTTTGCATAGGTAGCTTTTAGTACAACGATTATGACTGCAAAGAAAAGCAACAAATACACAGAGCAATATACACAGTTTTTTGTCTTTAGACTGTGGACAAAACCACAGAGATTACTGTGAAAAAAAAGAAAGATGTCCATTTTTATTTTATTTCACAAAGAAAATTACAAGACCGGAATAGAGCATGTGAATATCAAGGGCTGAAAAATGCCACAATCCAAATAAATAATAAATATAATCAGCTAAATGTATACATACATGTATAAATATAAAAAGTTATTAAATGTGTAAATAATTTAAATCAATATTAATTACAAGCAGAAAGCGTATAGAATTTGTTTTTATTCACTTGCTTTAGGTTTTATGTTGCCATAGAGGATGATTTTGCTATAGACAATATGATTGGTCTGCAGCTGAGTGTCTGTCCAGGTTATCCAATCAGATGATTTATTACAGGGAACCTCCGAGCTGAACTCATGATAGCTGAGTAATACGTGAAAATACAGATGCAATGACATGTTTTTGGCAGCATTACTTTTTTGTTTTTCACGGATTATTTGCATTAAATTTTTACAACAGGATGATACTAAAAGCAGCAGTAATATTCTTTTAGATCATTACGTTTTACATAATTTTCTACAAATACCAACATACTGCAGAAGAAAATGTATAATTGTTGTTTTTTTTTTTACAAAGTTTTTGTTTTTCTTTATTTTAAAACCTAAATAAGTAACTAAAAGGCGATTATTAAAAATTGACATATTTTTAGTTGTAGACATTTTTAGAGAATTATAATTTGTCTTTTTTCAAAAGGTCATTTTCAATGAGTTTATTTAGCAGAATTAAATAAAAAACGGCTGTCTGGGTTAATGTTGCAGACTTGTAATAGAGGACACACAAAAACATACTGAATTATTACATATAATTTTACCACAAATTGAAACCATTATTAATGCATTACATATTATTATTTAATGTAGTTATTACAATTTTATTTAAATGAATGAATACATTAATGTTTAAACATTATTTATTGGATTGTGGCACTGTTGGCTCTTGATATGTGCAGAGATATATGTAATATTGCATCATCACCAGTTACTGTAACAATTACTATTGCAAAACAAGCATAAAATATTCATTTACTCTGATGACTCAAATGATATAAGAAGCCATAACATCAACCACCCTGTTTGAAAACAGTGCATTACAGGCAGTGTCCCAATAGTTCATTTACAGATTATGTTTAAGGCTGTGTGCGTTTGTCTTCCAGCACAAAACTGCACTTAAAATGAGATGATGAGCATGAACGCTTTGGAAAAGCAACAGAAAGAAACTTACAGACAAACCTTGTGCAAGTAGGGCTGAAAAATATAACAAGCCGTAAGAGAACATTGATTTGTGCTTTGTTTTTGGTTTTGCAAGAACCTGTTAGACATTTTTGGTGAAACAGCTGCATGCTACAAACCAGATATTTGCTATTATAAGGCAAGAGGTGTGAGTTTATTGCCGGAACAGAGCGGATAAAGCTTTTTTTTATGGACGTGTTTAAGGAATTATTACCTTTATTCCACTCATTTCTCTTTTTAGATGGTTTCTGAGGTTATACTTGTGAAGATTTTCATCAAAATAAGGTGCATGTCCCTGTGTTTTCTCAGTAATCCCTCGTGGTGCTGGTGGCAGATGTTACTGGTAAAATGAGCTCCTCTGTTTACAAAGTGTTTATTGCAGCAAACCGTCCAAAGCAAACACAGCAACCAGGAGCTGAAGTTCCGGTCTCTATGTTTAAAGGAAAACAATGGCCAGAAGATGAGATGGCAGAGGGATGAGCGCCACCTTGCTGGAGAGTAGATGATTGCATTGATGAGTGTCTGTCTGTGGGTAGCACAGGAAGAGGAATAGGCCGTCGCTTCCTGTTTCGCTCTGTTGTCTATGTCTGACCTCTGGCCTGAACCCCCGTCAGATCCTTTCTGATGATTTCATTCACTGCAAAGCAAATAAAGACAGGAAACTGTTATCTTAGGTAATTGACTTCAAAACACGTCCCCTCGGACAACATCAAATGATTTCATTCTTGAAATATGCTGCCAGACAAGTAATCCAGTCTGACGGTTCAGTTCAGATGAAACAAAAGCTGCGTTTACGTGGAGGAACCTCTGGAGGCAACCAGCTGTTGCTCAGCCGATTACAAATGCATCAACACAAGAGTAAGGGGGTTGAAATGGAAAGTTTTATAGTGTCGCAGTTCTAAAAATAGGAGCACAACATGTGTGTGTGGGTGTGGGGGTGTGTTTGTGTGTGGGGGCGGGTTGATCTTGTATAGGGTACATGCCAAACAACTACATGTTTTTCTTGTTTAAGGGGGAATTTTATTTTTTTTTTTTTTGTGATGTTTTCTTGTTGGTAAAATTAACCCACGTCTTCCACAGAAGAAAGAGAACAGGAAAGGGGAACAACCTGCAACACACCGCTCTTCCTTCCTCAGATAGTTTGCCTGCTCAGGTGGTTCTGGACTGAGCAACAAAGAATGCCAACAATGCGTCACATGTCGCCCCGCGCCGTCTGCGTCCATCTCTGACGTTTCAAAGCCGTCTGTGTTTTCAGATATGTGAGACTGGTGCCAATGCTCCCAGTTTACTTCGGAAAACTCATTAGGTCAGATGAGTAATACAAGTATTTCAAAACGGGCCAAAAAGGCTTTTTGGCAGGAACTGGAGCCTTTATAAACGCATATCCTGGTTTTGTAACCATAGAGATGAGCAACATTTGCACACCGGCAGTTGAATTGTTAAAATGCAATTCCCATACCGTATATGTAATATTTGCAATAGGAAAAGATTACATATACATCTTCATCCTCATGTGTTCAAAGATATACGAGTTTATAAATTCACAACTTTAAAGATTACCAATGATAAGACACATAATTGCCATCTCCTGTAGGTGTTTAACATATAAACATACAGCATATTCAGTATAAACAGTTTGTGTAAGCTACCTATATTTTCCTGTACCCAGATTTTGGATTTATGTCATAACAATATATGTCCATGTCACTTAAGGAAACATGGAATATCTTAATTTTACATATTACATGAAGGTTTAATATGTAAACATCCATAAATATGCTGTTTTTCTCTTAATTGGCTCTGGTTGATAGTTCAAAAAATGTAATCAGATTTTTTTTTCCCTTCCATTTCAACAGCATGCAGCTTTTTGACTGGAATACAAATTCAATAAGGATTAAGGAAGTGATGCATAAAAAGGGATAAAGTGGTTTTTAAATCAATATTTGTCATTATTCTGGTACAAAATACAAACTAGCAAAAGTTCTGATCAAATAATCACTCCACTGAAATAGTTAAAATAACTGAAAACAATACATCTCAACAAAGATTCACTGCTGGTTTTACTTTGTTCCTTAAAGGACCAGATTATTTTGATCAACAAATGCCTCTCAAGATGCTCATAAGGACACGCTTGGGTTTGGTTTAATACAGCCCCCCAAAATAAATCAAATTAAAATCCAGTTTCACAAACTTTAACAACTGAAAAAAGTCTGTCTAACCAGTTACGACTGTCTGATGTAAATGTTTCTACAAAAGGAACAAACAGAAAACTGGAAGGCCAAGATTTTAATTTTATGCTCAAAAGCAAAGCCAGAAATGCCAACACTGACATTATTCTTACAACTTCCACTTCTTTTACAGGTTGTATAGTCAAAGCCTCATATGCAACAGAGAAACATAGATATTTCCCCATCTGATGTAAATTTTGGTTAAGTTAGAGATGAGTCATTTTGTTAAAATTCAAAGCGATAAGGATGCAACAGTGAGTCATTTCACTCACTGCTTTCATGTTTTTTTTTCAAGGCAGAGGAATTCAACTAGCTTGTGTATACACTCTATTTAAAGGCCTGATTTCCATATTGAAGAGGCAAAGAGTGAAACTATTAACACTCCTACAAATTAGGTATAATCTGTCACTGTGGCAGGAGAATGCTGTGAAGTTTGCACTTCATGAAACAAGTTTAATACGTCAACTCTGGGAAAGAAAATGCTGTTTCCAGTAGCTACACACCCCTACAGAGCCACTTATCCATATTTAAAAAATAAAATAAATCTAGGGTTAATTTCAGCTACAATCAACCCAACCATAACACAGATCATTGAAGAGTAAATGTCCGCCGTATAAAACTGTCAACAACTTTAAATTTCTAGTATTTTGTCCTTTATGCTACTAATGTTTCTCTTTCCCCATACTTTGTGCCAGTTGAACCATTCAACTTTTACAAAATTCAGCTCATTCAGTAGATGTGTCCTTTGCTATGTGGTATTTATAATTTACACTTTGAAAAATGTGTTTTGTTAAACCTCTTTCAAAATTAAAGTACATGATTTCAAATGGTCAAACTTTGTGGACTTTAAGGCTAACTACTTCATCCTAACGTTAGCTAGAAATTCCAATCAAACTCTAAACCAGTCACAACATCTTAACTTTTTTAAAACCACCATTTAATTGTTCTGAAGGTTTTGAGTGTCTTTTCCTGATTCCTCCAGTTATTTTATCTTTTACACTATATTTTGTACGGAAACTATCCAAACTCACTGTTTATTTGAAGAAACATTCACACTGTTCTCATTGGAACAGTAAGTTGTTTTTCCCGACATCAACACTTTGAGCAGCACGTACGCAAGATTGACCGACAGCGCTAAGACACTCCTCCTGGCTCTGATTGGCTGTTTCTGACTGGGAGCATTTCTGCGGTACATTTCTTCAGACAGCAATAGTAGCACAGAGATCAATCTTTTCAGATTATTGCTCACAGTTTTAACAAATGTGGAAAAAAGAAAAAAAAAACATATTTCTGTAAAAGTTACATACTGCAACTTCAAAGCACAAGTCTAAGTGGAGTCTGAAGTCTTTTAGACTTGGGATTGAAATGCTTTGAACAGTCCACGATCAGGTTGACTGTTCGCTTGACTTTAATATTAAAATATTTAATTTTCAAAACAAATGTTGCTCTAATTGCTTATAAGTATCCAATACAAGCCCAACTCCAAATATGAAGTAAAATATAACAACAAAAATCGTCTTTAAAAAAAAACTAATGAAGGCTCCATTCACCAGGTTAATATTAGTCTTACTGTCCTTCAGCATCTCCTTGGTTTGCTGATCTTTTGCAGATGGGAAACTGAACACAGAGCTCACTTTATAACACCAGCAGCATCTGAGAATCTCAGAGACTGCCGTGACAGCCAAACTGGGCGCTCTGCTGTCGTCACAACATCAGCATCCCTGTTTATTTTAGAGCAGGGCGGAATTCCCTGTGACACCCAATGCCTTAAAGGAACTTTCATCTCCGCAGCCGGGCCACAGGATTTTTTTCCTGAGTGTGAAGCGGGCCTTCGAGAAGCAACAGGACCACTGCAGACAGGCAGCACACAGTGGGGCTTTACTGGCCCTAATGAACAGTTGGCACGGAGCGACTATTTGAGGGAAGCCAGGGGGAATGCTGCTCTGTTCAATAGGCGAGTGTCTGGCTCCTGGGTTATGAACCAAATAGCTGCGCTGTTTACAAACCAAGGCTGGGTAGAGAGGGACGCCCTGGACAGAAGCCGACTCAGTTGCTGTCTACTGCCTGGCACAAGCTGGAGTGTGTGTGTGTGTGTGTATGCGCGCATGCGCGCGCGCGTGTGTGTGTGCGTGCAGGTTTTCAAGCTACATGCTGCGCTATTAGTATGTGTGGCAGATTCATAGGTCAAGTATGACTCGATCAATCTGAGAAAGCTTTATGAGGCAGTGTGAAGGTGGCCGAGCGCTGAAACTAAAGGAGAGGAAAGCAGAGATAAAAGACAATAAAACCACAAATCTGGTGTTGACATCTAAAGGGCAGAGTTTAGATCCAACACTGCTGCTGTGTGTTTATATTCCTTTAACCGTATGGTCTGTAAACAGATCTATTTAATCAAGATTGTAGCTTCACATGAATGCAAATGTGAAACACAGAAAACTTCTTTTACAAATTTACAGTTTTAATTTTCCTCAGATTTCCTTCAGAAACATCTAAAGCTAGAACAACATGTTACTCATTAATCGAGGAGATTGAATGTTTAGTACAGTATTCAGATCAGCTCTGATAAACTGTGCTTTTCTTTAGCTCTCAGCAGAAGCCACTTAATTTGATTCTTTATTTTTAAAAGATTTTCTATCAGAAATAAAACCTCATAAGGTGATCAACTGATATTCAACAACCTTTCTGTCTTGTTGAACACTTGTTGCAAACTGGCACCATATAAATAAACTAGACTGAATAATCTTAGCTATTAAAAGAGTTGCAGTATATTTAATTTCTTAATAGAAGAATGAAAATATTCTGTATCATCCCACAAGGCTAAGGTGTTGAAGAAGTGGGTGCATGCATATTCACACAAAAGGTAAAACATATATAAAAATAAAAGACTGTACTGTAAGGACACATTTACAAGATCAGAAAAATTATACTGTGCAGTTATTAAAAATACATATTCAGATTAGAAGTTTTGAGCAACTGAATAGGTTCATTTAGAGAAAGAAAAATGTGCATATATGTGCATATCATAGCAGACTATTTACAAGAAGAGGGACTTGCAAATAACAGCAGAGTTATAAGACTCATGGTTATAAAGCTTTACAGCTACTGGGAGGAAGGATCTGTGATAGCGGCAACTTTGTGCATCTAGGACGCAACAGTCCAACACTGAAGGAGTTCTGTAAAAGTGGAAAATGTAATTAATTTTATTGTTTTAATTGCTATATTCTTACTTCTTTAATTTGAGGTTATAATTCTGCAGCAAGATCAAAACCAAATGGAACAAAACTGGATGAAATGCAACAATTTTGCCATTTTCCTCCACAGGATTAACAGCTAGCTCAGCTGCAATACCAATAGCAAAGTTTTTGAAGAAAATAACTTCTCGCAGCAAGAAGAAAAGCTATGAAAACTAATTCACAGGATGCCTGAAACCCTGTGTGCACTGGTTGGTGAGATTGTCACCAATCTAAGTCCGGCTGCGATATGTAGCTGAGAAAACCGCCCAAATGGGACGGAAGTGAGGTGAGACTAATGTCGGCCCGCCGGACTGTTGCTGTGTGCTTTATCTTTCTGCCCTGATCTCCACTTTCTGGAACGATTTCACCTGCTCCACTGCCTCCCGGCTTTATTCCACACCCACTAAACATGTCACTCCCAGCCTTTGCAACCTGTCAATTATCACATTATTTTCTTGGCAATGACACACATCCTTGAATTAATAATGTGAAGGGAAGTCAGGCTTCTAAATGTTTTATTTTGGTGACCAATTGTAACAAATGCTGCTAACCATGTGGTCTGTTCTGAGAAGCAGCTGAAGGGATGGGAACCGGCGCGGGGGCTGCAGGTAAAACACCCTCTGAGTGGGAGACGTGGGGAGAAACTGGGGTTCAGAACAAAAAAACCGAACTTTTTAACACTTAAGAATCACAATCAGGCTCATAGAAGATGTGACAGTTTTTCAACCACAGTACTGTGACGATACCAGGATGTGGCATCTCTGCTTTCTTCTTTTTTCCCCTTTCTAAAATGACTCAAGGCTGTGACACTTGTCTTGATGAGCAATGTTGACAATTTCACTTTGGTGAAAACGTCTTTGATGGTTCTAGGATCAAACCTTGACACCTTCTGGCCAAACAGAAGGGGATTTTCCTCATTATTGTTTTTAATATCGGGAAGTCCCTCTTATCTTTCTCATTAAAGCAGCACTGACAGCACAGGTTGATGATAATCAACCTGTTAGAGAGATAAGGCGCAGCCATCCAGCTGCTACAGTTGTTGCATGAGATATTATATGCTGTCATGCTACTGCGGGGAAGATAAATACTTTCAGTAAATAGATTTCTAATGGGCATGAAATTCACACAAAATGAAACCAAATTAGTCAGCAAGTCAAGATACAAGTCACAAAGTGAAACACTTGAACAAAATAACAGAAAAGAGAGTCAAGAAAACAGATTAAATGAGTCTGCATGTAGGAAGTAGATCTAAACCATATTAGTAGAAATTGATACAAGACAAAAACATTTTGATGGCAGTGGCTACTGACCTAAGCATAAACGTCTTAATATTTCATTTGGGCAATAATATGGAAATCCAGAGCAACAATAATCATAGTCATAATCAGGTGCTTCTCTCCAGGTTTTTAGTAGAGAAGTGCAAAGATTAATCAAAAGAGTTGGTCAAGAGCAAAACAAAGTACATCATTTTAGCTCTACATGCCAACTGCGCAAGACTCCACTCCTGAAGAAAAGACATGTTAAAGCTTTTTTAAGGCTAGCAGCAGAACCCATGATAAACCCATGAAATACTGCATTTATAGGTTTGGTTAATCTTTTCTTCATCTTTTTCTTGTAAGAAAAATCCTTACAACCCCCCAAATCCAGCATACACGACAAGGGTCATGTCCAGGCCGGCGCGTCATGGCATGCGTCTGTGTTTTAGCACATTGTTCTGGCAGACTGGAAATGGAGAAATGTCCCGGGATTTGTTTTTTTTTTTTTCTTTTTACAAGACAATTATCCCAAATGGAGCCAAGGAAATTCTGGGCTGGGTTCAGAGCAAGAAAATATAGCAGCTGCAATGAACGGCCCAGACAATTGAATCTGATTATTTTGAATATGACTCAAAATCATTTTAAAAAATATATCAAACATGTTTCAGAAAGCTTGTTTAATAATTATTTCCCTGTGTCATACTTAATTACACAGCTTGATTTTTGTATGAGTGTATTGCTGTAATCGGTACCAATGTGACGTTGATGTGTTTAATATTTATTTCCCCTGATGAGTATGGCTGCCGTTTTAAGAAGTAGTTTTCCAGAGTTCTCCAGGACAGGTGTAAATGTTTTTTGAATTTAGTCAAACGGAAGGAATTGAGGCTTTGGAAAATTAGATGGAAGGATCAAAGGGGAGACCCAGTTTTACTGTTTCTCCAACTCCTTGTTAATTCACAGGCTCACAGTTCTGTTGCTGTTTACTGTGGAGGGAAGCCCTGCAAGCCCCATCCAAAAAACACAAATTCCACTGTTTCTTTTTTATTTTTAATACCGTTTCATTTTTTCCACTGAAACACACAAATACACACAGCTCCTTCCCTTTTCCTGCAAACCACCCTCCGCCCTCCCTGCTATCTTACAGGGAACGGCCTGGATTTTGAGAGGGCAGCAGCTGCAAGTAAGAATTTCTTGTGCCAGATTGGCAGAATCCTGTGGTCGGAAAAAAAGCAAATTCTCTGGTGGGCTCCCCCACAGGACAGAGGGGCGTAAGGCCAAGGAGAAATCCGGGCCAACTATAACAAACAGGGAGGCTTTCCCCAGTTCTCCCAGGCAGCACGTTCCACTGTTTGACAATGGTTGCCATGGAAGTTGTTTTTCACTTCATAACAGTGTCAACATGTCCAGGCGGTCAGCAGAGTGACACTTTTTTTCTCCCAATGGCTCAGTCGTTGGCTAGAAAAAAAAGAAAAGCTCATTTCCTGACCTGATGTGTGTTGGTGTCAGGTGAACCCGTGCAACCAGCAGAGTGATCAGAGGAGGATGGCAACCAAAAATGAAAAGTGTTATCCAAGTATATTTTAGCTCTTAGCATCCAGAAACATCAATATAAGCAGATGTTTGAATTATTTGTGGACAACAAAAAAACATAATTTTAAGGGGAACAAAAATGTTAGTTTCAAAAAGTAAACATCTAGAAAGTGTGACTGACTCAGCTTCCTGATTTAATAGATCATAGAAACAAAAAGTGTTTTGTATTATGTCAGTTGTATATATTTAGATACAAATGTTTTTGTTTTTTTACAAAACTGTAAAAATTTGTAAAGGATTGGGAGTTTTCAATTCTTGCCAAAAAATTTTACTTAGTCCAAGACCTTAATTTGATTTGATCCAAACCATTCCATAGCAGATCTGAATGGCTACTTCAGTTTTTTGCAGTCTTTAACTGGTTTTCTTCCTTGATTTCCTTTTGTATACTTCCATCATTCTTCCTCAACTAATTTGCCGCTGGCGTTTCCCCTCTTGCATCTTTCCAGAGCACCTCCTTCTGCTCATTTATGACAGAACCTACATGGCTTGTAGCAAACTGCAGAGAGGAGTTCTTTAAACTTCTTGTTTCTGAATACAACAATAACGCCACTTCTGTCAAGTTTTAGCTAAGATTTGTGCAGGTCCTCCTATGCAACCATGCAGAACATGCTTCAACAACCCTAAGCATCCTTTCCACGAGACTGTTTTGGAAAATTAGAGTGTCTTCAGTCAGATGCCCATTTACAATCAATGTAACACAGACTGCTACAGGAGATCCTTCCTGTCCCCAGCCATCAGCATCTACAACAACACTTTAACGGAAAATTAAGTTGCAACATGTAATTTCCCAATAAGACTAATAAAGTATCTTTGATGTTGAATTGAATGTCTAAAGCTTTAGATATGGTTTTATAATCCTACCCTGAACCATCTGCTGTGGTTTCTCATTTTGCCTGAGATTAATATGCGGTAGATGAAAAACGTAAATCCTATTAAGACACTTTCCATCTCAACTGACTGATAAAGTAGATGGGGTCCTGCTTTCCAGAGTTTGTCACTTTACTTTCAAAGATAATGAACCTTTAACACCAAAACAAGGAAAGGCTCCACCTTCTGCCTGCTGCTGGATGTGGCCAGACATTAATTCAGTCAGAGGGAAACAGGGTTGACAAGCGTAAGTATAAACATATGACTCAAACCCGCCATTATTTCCACTTTAGATGGATTGTTTTAACAGTTGTTTTTTTCTTGGCTTTGTTCAGAGGATACTATGGAGCACAGATTGGAGCGACAGATGGCGCAGATACTGTAAATATCCTTGAATTGTTCTTAAGAGAACTCATATCTCTGCTTCTGGTTCTTATCATCCATTTCTTTCACTGGCTTTGTCCGCCTGCATCATTTCACTTGAGCTACTCATTACAACCCTCACAGGGAGCAAAAGGCTGAACAATCAATCTAGAACAATATGCATCATAATCAAGATCAATAAAATGTTCAATAATTTCACTGAATTCTGATTCAGAGCTGCACAGCATTCTGGGGGATGTAGGCAGATTAAAGCCACTCAACCTCTCACAACCAGCTAAGCTAGGTGGGTGGCATCAACTCACTCACTCACTCTTTGGTTACCTAGCAACAACTTGTTGCGCAACTGGTGCAGCAGTAGTTTAAGGTTTTGCCACCACTTCTCATAACGGCTTAAAAATAAACAGCAACAGCATGGAAAACTGGATGAAACAGGAAAGGTCACTCCACCAGATTGGTAGCATTTTAAATATTTAAAACAAAAAACTAATAATTAATTAATGATATCAACAGACATGACACACTTTGTTTTTCCAGCAGCATCGTGCAGCCCTACAGGGAGCGTAAAGGCAATAACTTACACTCACCATCATCTAGGTAGGCCTGGTCCAAGTTCTCCTCCTTGACCGTCACCCTCCTCTGTGCGTCTTCGGTAACCTCCATCGGCTGTGTCCCGGGCGACACCCGGACCTTTTGGGGCTCCTTCTGCCCAAACGGCTGCTGCTGCTGCTGGATGACAGTGGGACAGGGCTGCTGGTGGGTCACCGCTGCCTGGGCCTGGGGGTGTCCAGGTGAGTGGGATCCAGCCTGCGGAGGGTAGTCATCGCAGAAAAGGATCTGCTGGTTATCAGGCTGAGGAGGAGGGAGAGTCTCCGTGTCTCCAGCCCTGAGCAAGTGGTGGTTGGTAGGGGAGAACTGGATGATAGATGGGTGCTGGCCTGAACTGATGGGACCTACAGACTGAGCTGGTGAGCCTGTGTGGACCAGCACCGACCGGTGGGGGTCAGGCATGACCCCGCCGGAGTGCCACGTGCCTGGGCTGCTACTGAGGCTCTTCCCACCTCGAGAGTAGACAATAGCCGGGCTTTGCTGCTGGAAACGCGCGTCTTGGTTTGGAAGGTTGGGGCTGAAACGCTGACAGGAAGCCATGCCAGACAGTAGGCCATTGTCTGGGTGAAGGATGCCACGAGGATTGTGGTAGTAGGACTGAGGCGATAAGCCTAAGATCTGAGGAATACCAAAGCCCATATTTTGTGCTTCATATTCATCTAGAGGTTCTGTCTTTATGGCAGGAGCTGAAAGATAAAGAAAAAACAAATGAGACAATGAAATGTCTTTAAAACAAGAAAAGAACCTGAAGCCCCAGATCCTTACATGTCAGTGGGGTGAAGGTGAAATGCTGAGGTTGACTGCGCTTCCGTTTGCCGTTAATAACGTAGAAGTTCACTTTGACAGGTTGGCATATGGATGTATCCCGGTAAGATGGCACTTCCACGAACAACATGCTCTGCAAAATTATTTTTAAATACGGTTAATGTCTTACAAACGGTAGACGAGTCTATTGGCCTCTTTCTTTAGCATAAATCCAGATGGTTCATAAATTGTGAACTATCCCTTTAAATGACAAACGTATAGCTGAGCTCTGACAGAAAATGTCCTATAGGTGGAAGAATTATTTATTTAACAGATGTATAATACGTACAGGTTGGCTCTTGTCTTTGTCCACTGTTGCTTCCATTTCCCAGAGTTGCTGGCCATCTGGGACAGAAGAGAAAGTAGAGAGAGAGTTTGTGAAGTTTGTTCTCTGAAAAGTAGTTCTTCAGTGGTGGGGAAAAAACATTTGCCTCTTTGATCACATTTAAATGTTCCAGATCAAGCTAATGTCACACATAAGTCACAGATAACCAAGTAAATAAAAAACAAAAATCAGTTTGACAAAGATATCAAAACTAACATGGCCACATTTGAAAAAAAGTGCTTCCCCTTCTTGTTATGTCATTAAATCACACATTTTTGGGGCCTTTTTCACGAGCCACACGCAGTCCTATTATCAGACTTGTAGAATCAAAAAATTACCTAACAGAACCGTTCTGGCAACATGCCCTACGAGGGCATGATGAAAACACTTCATGCCACTTAACACTACATTTTTCAGTCTGGAAATGATTACAAAGTTCTTTCCATGACTTGGGGACTCCAATAAACAAAATACAACAGTGGTGTTCCTCCCCAGGGTTGGTTGGTTTGCCAAATTGACTAGATGAGGGTATGGTACATCCAGGAGGTCATAAAATAACCCAAACGACATCTAATCTCAGGTTAGATGTTGAACATTAAATGTGATGCGACAATAACATCCTTGTGGGAGGTCTGAAGTAAAAACCACAGCTGACTAAAACAAAACACATTTCCTAAAAATAATCTAGATGATCTAAGTGACAGTGTGTGGAGTGTTGAGACTAAAGTAGAATTTATGTCTTCCATAAAACTATCAGAACGTCATTCCAGGAATCAAAAATGGTGGCGATAGATTGGGAAGGAAGAGCCCAGCCATCACTTTGTGACCTAAAGCTCAATCTTATACAGCTGGACAAGGATCTAAAGCACACCAGCAAATCCACCTCCAACAACTCAAAAAGACAAACTTAAGGTTTTCAGCATCAAAAAAATCATTGACGTTGGAAACCCACTGATGTGGTCAAATTAAAACTATTCTGCAGAGAAAAATTGGCCAAAATTGCTCCACACTGAGACTAATTGCCAGTGTTTTGCAAGGATTTGATGGTAGTTGCTGCTTGCAGGGGTGGGACAACCAGTTTTTACGTTTATGGGACAATTACTTTTTCCACAGAGGACCAGTTGGTTTGGAAAGCTTTTTCTTTTCCCTTAATAAATAAAATCCTCCATTAAAAACTGCATATTGTTTTGGTTATACGTTAGCTTCAAGATCCAGCTTGTGCTTGTAGATAAAATATAGACGAAACCACTTCCTGTCCCACCAACCAGCACACTTAGAAGGAGTATTTGTAGGTCATCTGAAACACACTCATTCAGCAATATGACTAAAGAAGATGTGTTTGTTTGCTGCCAGTGTTAGCTAGCAGAAAAGAAAAACTGCAGGCTTTAATGTAGTAACAGTTGATTTTACACAGGAGATTTAATCTATAAAACAAGTGGTGCATTTGAGTGCAAGCACACAGAAGTGTTGCAGGTTTAGGTGGGAAACCCTCAAGCTACAGATTGAAAACACATGGATTAAATGAGTCAGCAAGAGAGGGGGATTCCACACACACTGCCAACTTTTTTTTTTCTTGGTCTTATTGTTTTTTATGAGAAACTTTCTCCGTTTCTTCTGCAAAATGTGATGACGCTACTACTCTGTTGGCGTGGGGAATTGTTTGCGTTCTGTTGCAGTTCTTCCCTAAGGGAGACCCCAATCCTTCCCTCCTCCGCTAACAATTACCTCTGATGGGAGGAGGGCTGATGGACCTGGAGAAAGAGACTGAGTTGCTTTGGTTTGGCTCGGGATGTAGTCATTTCCCAAATAAAGCTCTCTCCGTCCAAAGACAAGAGTCAGGGGAGCTCCAGCCAGATGCAGCTGTCACTCATTCAGAAGGATTTCACAGCTGGACTTATTCAGAACTTTGTGTCATAGAGAAAATCTCCAAAACAAAGGTAATCCCTCTCTGCAAGCTTTCTCTTCTGATTTCCTCTCACAGTGTCTGTTGAGTCTTGCAAAACAGCAGAAGGGATTCCCAGACAAGATAAAAAATAAAAAAAACCCAGTAACTAGGACATAAAGTTTACTGAAAAGTTTCTGGATGTAAAAAAAAAATAAATAAAAGAAGCATGTCACATCAATCTGATAACTAACTAAAATAATCAAAATTCAATCAGACTTATCATGAGCATATAGATGTCATATTAATTTGAGGTTCACTTTTTCCAGGTATGAATGAATATATGATCTGCAAATAACTGCAAGAATGTTTTACAACAAGAAACTGCACGACTGATTAATTATATAAAACACACCTGGCCCAAATTATGCATGCACCCATCTGACATGTTGGTTCACTTTCCATTAAGAAGTTGCAACTAAACTGCATGCCTTTTGTAGCCATGCTTTAACAAGCTACTGGTATCATATCAGAATCCTCTCAAACCATTTCGGTTTGTTGCAAAACCTAAAACTACATTATGCATAGTCAACATCAATGGTGTTAAGGTTGGGAATTTGGTGAAGTCATTCCAGATTTTTAATATTTGCCTGCACTATGCTTTTTTGAAATCAGGCTTTGTTCATCTTAACCAAACTGCCATAGTTTGTACCAACCAGTCAGCTTATAGATCAATTCTGTGCTCTGCACTAACTTTTTACATTTCAGGTCAACTACTTGAAAATACGTGAAAACGCAGATTTTTCTAAGCAGATGAAAGATGAGGAACTGTGTGTAAGTGTCAGATAGTGTGAACTGTATCAACAATGTACAAGTATTTTACCAAAGGGCTAACAGAAATCTCATCAGAGGCTAAAAAAGAAAATGAATGAATGTGTACATGTCATTCATCCAACTGATTTCCAGTGGAGTAGCTTCTGATTGGAAAGCGTTTCTTGTAATTCTTTCTGGGTGAAATGTTTTCTTTGGAAGCTAAGTTTGTTGACCTAAAGGTTAAAATCAATACAGTTTGTGACCAGGATGTGTGGGACCTGCAGCAATGTCAGCTGTCCTTTTTCTGATCAAACTAGCATTAAATGTCTGGATAAATCCTGACCTTAACGCGACTGAAAATTTGTCAGTTATACTTAAAATATGGAATCACACTTCAATAACCTATCAGTTCTGCTTATTCTTAGCTTTTGAGCCAGGACTTTTTCAAAAGCTTGATTATGGGTACAAAGTTTGCAGTCAAGGTGCAACTTGCTTGGGTAGGGTTTAGCTTTGAGAGAGTCTGGAATAAACTCAAGATTAATTTAAACTTGTTCATCAAATTCTTATATTTACAACTAAAACCATAGAAAATTATGTCCTTTTAAATAAGAACATGTCAAATACATTGTAAAAATACCAATATTAATTTGACAATCAAAGCAATGATCAACATATGTAAACTCCTGTTCAGACCTGCAAATTGTTCTATTGTCACCTAGAGCTAAACAGACTGTGCTAAATAGAGACACAGCCCAGAGCAATGCAAGCAGAAACAAGGAAACCTAATTCTAAACAAAGTTCAAACCATATGCTGGTGCTTGTTAGAGTAAAGGGAACAATGACATTACGACTGATCTTCGCTGCTCATAAAAACCAACTGAAATCCTTTTTATCAGAAATGTAGGTGGCGGGTTTTACATGACACAGAATCATGAACCGTGCAACAAAAGGCCCCTTTGAGTGATAAGACATCATGGAAGTCATTGAAGGGCAATAGGAAGCGAGGCTGCACCATCATCCTCTTGATCATGCAAATAGCTGATGCTATCCTTTACATAACGACGGGTATGAAAAGAAATCCAACAGCGAGGAACTTATTGCACAAACACAATGACTCGTTAATTATGCTTGCTGGTTGCGGCACTAATGTGACACAACATTGTGCAACTAGCACAGAGAAGGGCCGTGAAGATTTTACAGACTCCGGCATGGAGCTGGTTTTTCTCGGACACTCACCGTGGGTCTTCTCCAGAAAGATGACCTTTGAGTCGGAGCTGAAGTTCTGCCCAGTCAGGATCATCTGCTGGCCGCCCAGGACGGAGCAGCTGTCCATGTCCTGTTTCTCCACCATGGGAAGCTCGTGTGCAGAACGCTGAGCTGCAGGGACACACAGAGGGGTGGTGTGGAACTTTTACTGCCTTTCCACTACAGTCACTTTCTCCAGTGGGAGGATTTCCTTTGCTTCCCTGATTTATACGATTGCATATTAGATATCATTCATGTCTGCGGACAGATCAAACATGAGAGCACATCTGAACAAAGCATTTTTATTTTATTAATTTTGACCACACTAATATGCAGTGCATTAAAAACTAATCTAAGCATAAACTATTGATTAAAATACTCTTTAGATAGTGATCTGAATGACAGTTTTTTAACATGTTCAATGCTGGTTTCTATCTACAGATTTACCCAGAAGTGGTGGTGGTTTACAATAAAGAGATTATGCTGAGTCATTCAATAATCAAAGTCATCGCTCTTACTGTTAGTAGCAATTTAAATGAGTCAAATCACAACTTGTGCTACTTATCAAGAGGAGTCTCTGCAGTTTAGATGTTAAACTGTTTTATAGGAAGGGGCTAAAGAAAGTCTGATAAGTCTTTTTAAAAAGTCTAAACACGCTGCACAAAAAACTTGTCTATATTCTTTAACCTAGTCATGGTTACCCACTGAGGAAAAATAAATCCTTTTAACAAAAAGAACAGTTAATGTCACAAATAGTTTGTACAACTCAAATGAAAAAGGTACAAATCTTAAAAAATGAAAAAGCCCCACATAAGCTAATAATCTGCAGAAGTATTTTGTTTGCAAGTCTGATAAATGTAAACTAGATAGAGCTAGCTTAATTAGGGTTAGTTTAGGTACAGCTAGATGAGCTATAGCTATTTATTTAACAAGCTCTAGCTTCTAATTTAGAAACTTTATGTTCTTTATATTTAACCTCTGACACAGAATTGTTCAGTGAGAAAAAAACAAATCCTCTTAAAACTATTTCTACAGTTAATGTAAAAATATTCTGTTCAGCTTAAATGACAAAGTTGAAAACACCCCTTCCCCAAGCTAATTCTATGAACTAGTACATTTTCTTTGTCATTATCACTTACAGAGTATTTTATTAATCTGATATAAATAGATTCAGTGGATTTTCCTTATATTATTTAGCAAAAAAAATCTAAATCTGCAGAGAAGCTACGAGCGATCTCAATGAACAAAGGTACAAAGAAGAAGGTGGTCTGAAGTTGACAAAAAGTTAATATGCAGCAAAAATAACACTGAACATCACTAAATAAACCCCACAGCCGTTGTAAAACATGGTGGTGGCAGCACTGTTTTTTCTTAAATTCAAAATGCTTGTGAGGTGAAGCAGGGTTTCATCTTCCAGCACTACACTGAGTCCAGCCATACATTTAAATCAAAAATAGAATAGCTTCAACAGAAGAAAAAACTACAAGTTTTTTTCTCTTACATCATTACACAATTTTTAAATCCAAAGTATCCGAAAAGTCCATTCAGACTTTATTACATGGTTACATAGCTATGCGTGATTCTCTTTAAAGGAAGTTGTATTTAGTGACAACCATGTGATCTTTGAATAAATTAGTTCCCCTTACAATGTTACAAAAAACAAAGAAGATGACATGGGCGGGCTTGCTCTGACTCAGTGTGTTTATCTGCCGGCACAACAGATGCCAGGAGACTCATGCAGCTCCATCACTCCTCATCTGTTTTGCAGCAAACACAGCATTGCAACAATTGTTCCACGAAATGAGACGCAAGCAGTGCAAAGAGATTTTTGAGTCATGACTTTTGTCAGTAACAGAAGCACATGGCAGGCAGTTCATCATACCTGACAAGTTGTTGATCAAAGGTGGATAAGGGACCTTTTGTTTGAGTTGAGATTACATCCAGCACCTTAATAACTCTGTGCACACATGCATTAATGTACCCAAACACAGACTTCAGAACTGAGTAAATACAAACAGGTACCTGCAGCCACCACCAGCTGGATGGAAGCCCTGACTGCATAAAGAGACGTTTTACTCTCTGGATCCTGGGCTATCAGCCCCAATCCAACTTCATCTGAATGTAGGTAATGAGGTTTACTTTAAGTTTTAGCTACACCTCACTGGGCAGGTTTTAAGAACCAGCAGAAAACCCATGAAAAGCATAAATAATACATTTACTGATAACTTACAACACTCGATGGGATGAGAGGCCACTTGCAGACAGACATCCTGACCTCCAGGCTGAAATATGTGCACGCGAAACACAAGTCGGACCCGGGTGTTTTTCCGGCCGACATCCGTCTCGCCTTTCCTCAGCTCGATGTCGGCGTTCCTGAGCTTCAGGATGCCAGCGCAGTCGATTCTGTGGGAGGAAAAATGAAACGACGGCATTGTGAGCAAACCTGGGGGAGGCATTTTTATACCGATATTGTTGGGTTCATCTCACATGGCTTTCATGTTGTTCTTTGGCTCTAGCGGGATCTCCAGGACTTTGGTGCCGTTGATGATCCTCTCGTAGCTGTTGGTGGTGACCGTCTTGCCGGTGATCCGGTGAACTTGATAAAAGGCGTGAGGCTTCAGGATGCGCTCATCTGCGGTACCAATAAAAATCTGGAGGCCAACTGGGTCTTTGCCTCTGTAGCCGTGCAACTACAGACACAGAACACAAACAGTCAACACTAAACCATTGCCACTTCTTCTGTTAGCTGATGAAACTTAACAGTAAAAGGAAACATCTGAGCCTGATTGTTCTTTTCCCTCTTATGATTAGATAGCAAGCCTTTATCAATAAAGAGAAGCAGATCTGTTGCCATGTTTGATATTAGTGACTTCTTGATGACCAATTTCACATCAAACTGCAGCTGTCAGATGGCCTCACAATGTACTGGATAATTCTCTATACATGGTATTTTATGATTTGCTTAATAGTTGTGAGATTTCAAAGTCCTCTCAGTGCAAAACAAGCTCAAACAACCATCCATCGACCACCAAGCCTGACATTTGTTATGAGGCGACGCCTTACAACCTTTTGAAACTGATCTGAGGTTATTGCATTGTGTTAGACTGCTATAATTCACACTTTTACAAAGGTTTTATGTCTAATTAGGGATTTGTTAGTCAATGCATTTAATCTGTACCTGATCACTACCTGTTCTTTTACCTAAATTATTCATGTTGCGATGCTTAAGAATAGCAAGAAATTACACTTGCATGTGTACTTTGACTCCAACTTTACATTCAAGTCATTTACACTGGATGGAAGATGCAACAAGATCATAATCATTGTCATAACCATGCCTAACTTGTAGACTTGGTAAAGTAGATAACACTGTACTGACAAAGATGCTACTTTTAACCTGAATATTTTCTGAGGAAACCTGCAAAAACCACAAGGTGTCAACTTGCATCAGGATGCAGTTTTTGTGCAAACTGTATAGAGCATGACCCTTGCTGCAGAATGAACGTGTGAACTAGATTCTAAATGTTGAAGCAAAGCTGCCTTACAAGAAAAATTTCATCAAACCAAAAAGAAAAGTTTTATTTCAACTTCTCTTAATTTTAGAAACAATCTCTCCAAACTACCATTTGCTCTGGAGGTTGTAACCATGAAACTTCAAAGAGGGGCTCAGTGTCTGCAGAAACTATGGCAACGTGAAAGCGCGCATTCCCCTCATCTCCAGGTGGACACACAACACGCCGTGCAGGAGTGAACTGCAAACACCAAGGAGGGCGTGAGGAGTCGGCCGGTTGGCATGGCAACGGCAGGAGCAGTGAGTCACGGCAGCGAGCGAGTGGAGGAAAAGTAAAGTGGACTGCTCAGAGAAAAAGGCAGCAGAGGGAGTGGGACAGAGGTAAAGGAAAGTTTAGGCAAAGTGTACGGCCACGGATAGCCAGGTCCGGCTGTCCTGGCAAACCTGGCAGCTCTGACCTCAGGCGAGTTCTTCAGGGACTGGGCAGAAAATGGAAAAGGAGCAAAACAGTGTAGAAAAGTTGCCACAGTAACGCAAAAAAGAAGGAAGCTGAAACTATTTACGGCCACTACGGCCGGCTGAAACTGTGCCACAACCAATTTGTGTTTTCCTTCAGCATTAGGACCGTGACCGACATTAAGAAAACTTTTTCTTTCCTCTTGAACTGCAATTACCCTAACGACAGGAACTGTTTCTGTATTTTTTTCTTCTTTTTTTTTTATTTTCTCATGCCTTGACAGCTTTCCAGTACCTCAACTTTGCTTCCTAATACAAGAGCTGCACAGTAAACGAAACAGTGTGGAAGAGGAACTCAGAACTACATCAACACAGATCCGTGCGTGTGGTTAAAACCATGAGACGAGGATGCAACACAGACGGCTATTTTAGGCTGGAAAGTAGAAAAAAAAAAAAAAAGAGAAATCAGGTCAGCGAGAAACAGTCTTGGTTCAGTCTTCAGGGTTGTCCTGAGTTGGTTACTATGTGTCTTACTGTGTATCTGAGGTTGGACCGTCCATTTATGATTTGTTTAAGGAAGTGAGAAATGGCATCTTGTGTTTTCATACAGCTGGGCGACACTGATGCATAACGAGTCGTCACAGTAACGCTGCCTGAGTCGCACATTGGTCATACATTTCAATAAACACACACACACACACACACACACACACACACACACACCACATCATGAAGTAGGAAGTAACAACACACTGAATTAAAGAGTTGTGCAACTTGAAAACATTGAAAAAAGATTAAACTCCTTTAAATCTGTTCAGAATTTAGCAGGTTAGAAACAGAAGCTTTAGTTAATTCTTTTAGATTTTCAACCAAGGAGTAGCACATAGCCGCAAAGTGGAGGGAAACATTAAAATGTTTTTGCATTTATACTCTGCCCTCCTGATCTGACACTTGGTAGAACCCTCTAGCTGCGGTTAAAGCAGCACATCTTTTAGAGTTTATGTCTCTACCAGCTTTGAACATTTACAGACTGAAACTTTTGCCTGTTCTTCATTTAAAATAGCTCAAGCTTAGTCAGACTGAATAAAAAACAACCGTAAACAATAAGATTTCTTGTCTGGTCTTTGACTAGGCCAGTTTAACACATAAATAAGCTTTGGTTTAGGTAATTGCATTTCAGCTCTGGCTGTAGGTTTTAGGATAATTATCCTGCTGGAAGGTGAACGTCCTTTGAAGTCTTCATGCTGCATACAGGCATCATCACAGCATAATAATGCCACCATGTTTAATGTCGGGGCTCATGTGCTCAAGGTGACGTGCACTGGTAATTTTCCTGCACAGGTCATTAAGTTTAATTTTGCTCACATCGGAACAGAACACCTTCTTCCACATGTTTGCTGTATCCCCTACTAATGGTAAACTGCAGGGAACAGAAACTTTTATGGCTTTCTTTCAACAATTCAACAATCTTGCCACTCTTGCATGGTGGCCAACCTTGTGGAGTGCATGACTAATGAAGGTAAAGTCAACAAACTCTTCCCCCTGGGATGGAGCTCTGCAGCTCTTCCAGAGAGACTGTGAGTCTCTTGGCTTCTTCTCTGATAAATGCTCTCCTTGTCCAGGCTGCCAGTTTAGGTTGCCATGGTTGTGTACAAATTCAGGGGCTGCATCCTTCGACGGTCATATTTGAGACTCGGTACGCCACGGCGAGGATGGCTTTCCAAATTCGAAGGGTCCTCCACAAACACACAGACCTGGAAGTCGGGTCTGGTGTGTCCTTTGCTGCCAACCCTATCCCAAGTGTTATTTAATATTATTTTTTTTTAAATAATCAATTAATTAATTTAATTAAAGGTTGCAGGGGTATTATGTAAAATTATCCGTGCTTTAAGAATAAAAAGGGAGTGTTGCTTTGATTCTTTGATGCATGTTTAAGAAATCTTCGAGTCTCCCATGGCAACCATTTTGGGGAGGAGTTTCCACGCTTGCTTTCACAAAGCTCCGCCCACTTCCACAAAGCCCATCCTCTGAGCTGCAGTCCTCAAACCAAACTTCTGTCCCACAGATCACAGAGCTCCTCCAGACTAGCGGCAGCAGCAAGTTGCAAACACCTGGTGGAACTGCAAATCTGCTGAGCTTATCATACAAACTTCTTCTCAACAAAACGGAAAAAGTCAAAGAGCGTCTATAAAAGATGAAGCTTCTTAAAGAGACAGAAGCCAATTTCAAGGTGTTACCTTACAAAGTCAAATTTGCTTTAAATTTTTTTGGATGCAAACAGCATTTTTATAAGAACTGGAGGTAACTTGATGGTAGTTGATTGTGCTACAGAATGGGACTATGTGCCTGGAAAATACATAATATCGCCTCTATAATTAAAAAGATTAAACCAGCCATAAAAACACTCAGCAAGATTTCAAGATCCATTTTTACCACCTTGTATTTAACACCGCCGTTGTTGCTAGGCAACAGGACATACATTGGGGTATGGGCAGGAATAAATCTGAAGGCTAGACAGTCAAATTTCAAACTCCTGGTTAACGAAAGGCCTTGAATTTGGACACACCCAATGTCTTGGTATGTTTGCATTGGTTTTCACTTTCAGACGGAAGAATTAATAGCGATATACAAGATATTCAAAGCTTGGGATACTTCTTTAAAACCTGACCCCGGTGTAAACTTTCTCCCTGACTTGTCTGCTTGGTCTCCATGATAAGGCTTTGCTCAAAGAACTGTTTGATTTTTAAATTACAGGATAAAGCAAAATAAAAATAAAATAAAAAAACTTTCACTATGAACATTTTCTGCTTAATGGTGTTGTATTGGTGTACTCAAGCTTTGGGACATACCTGCACCACTGGATGTCCTCCTGTGGGGGCTTTAACTGCGCCTCTGCTTCCCTCCGTCTCATAGTGAGCCCTGTGGTGCGGCTTGGGCTGCACCTCAATGTGGAGCTCATACTGGTCTGTGCGACTGGGAAGGGGCCACTCTAGTGGTGGTGCTGTAGCCAATGGGAGGCTGCAAATGGACAAAGATGATTAATTATTCATGTTGAAAGACATGAGCTTCAAAAGTTCCTGGTTTTCCACCAACTTACTTGCAGAGATTGGGAACCAGCGGCTTGGGCCAGATTGGTGGGATGACATAGAAAGGCTCTGCAGCAGGTTTGGTTTTAATGTCCTGATCACAGGACACCAAGTAGTTCCCATCTCCGTGATTCTCTGGGATTAAAGCGTAAAGTTGGTTGGAGGTCTTGACTATTTTGGTGGGCACCATGCCTGGCTGACTGCTGCCAAATCCATTCACACCCTCAACAAGGCCGGCGTGTGTGAAATGAGCGCCCGTGTTGGGGTCCTCCTGGCCGCTGTGCGGGGACGGACTGCGGGACCGCTGCCCAGGCATCAGCCCTGGATTCCGGTACATTTCGTAGGTGCGCTTGCCCTGCGGGGAGGTGGAGCGTGGCCGGGGCGAGGGCGAGCGTGCTCCCAGGCCGCCGTCTTCTCCGAGGCTGGTGTGAGGGGAGGTACCCGGGGAGGTGCGTGGGGAACCGGTGTGGATGTTCTGCATGCGGGGGCAGAGATCTGCTGGATTTGGGCCACTACTGGGTGAAACACAGGGGGACGCCCAGGGCGAGTAGCTCTCAGAGTGCCAGCTGGTGGAGGAGTTGCTGCTGGCGGGACTCAGGCACTGGGGCTCACGGTAGGCGAGGTTCTCATGGCCGGGCACAGTGAGGGTGGGTCTAGGGCTGAGGTTCAGGTGCTGGTTTGGCAGCGAGTCCCGGCCATGACTGTAATGCTCTCGGGACGGGGTGATCTCAATCCGGGGGCTCAGGGCCAGACCTGGCGGCCGGGTGTTGTCCAGGTAGTTTCTGGCCTCCTGGTTTTCGTACCCTGAGAGAACTTCGGGGTTGAGGTTGGAGTAGGGGGAGTTGCAGGACTTGATCCTGTACTGCTCATCCAAAGGGAAAACCTGCTCAGATTCAGAACTGAGCACCTTGTGAGTGGCAAGGCCAGGGTCATCTGGAGAAAAAAGGATCACAAGATATTAAGAACATGCAGAAACAAATATCAGATTAGAGCTGTACAATTTATTGAATCTTAATCTTCACTGCATTATTAAAATGTGCAACAAGGTTGAAACAATTTATGATGATTAATCAATTCTTGAAATTGTCAACTACACATATTACAGACTCAATAAAAAGTTAATTGCTCAAAGAACAACAGCTCAGAGCAGTAATTAATCCAAAATTATTTAAAAGTATAAAAAATATATACATTATGCAGATAAGATAAATGCAAAATGCAAGTGGCATAGATTTAGCTTCACCTGCTTAATTTTTTTTAAATCACCCATTAAACACCTTTTCCTATCAAATTATTAAGCAGTTAATCCAAAAAATATTTTAGCTGTAGCTTGCTTCAAATGATCAAGCATACACTAAAGGAATGCTGAGTTATTGCCTTTTAGGATATAAAATGTTTACCTTCTTATTTTAAAAAATAATTTAAATATTTCTTTAGTTGTATTTTTACTAATATTGTACAGAATAAGCTTAAGCAATTAAATGAAAAATCTGCAGTTGTGCCCGTTTTTTTATCCGATTAATAATCGGTTCCTAAAAGAATCGTTAGTTGCTGCCTAAATGAGTAATATCTCGATGTATTGGCCTGCCTCATGCCGTCTACGGTAACTAATACATTTAATGTGTGCATTCAGACTCTGCTAGCTAACTGTAAATTTGGCCAGCTGATACTTAATCTTTGTGAATAAGATGCTAAATGTCAGGAAGCGTGATGGGACTATAGTGATGGAGAAAAAAAAAGCCGTGAGGAAGATGTAATTTCATGTTTTCCAAATACTATATATTTTCCAAAACATACTATTTTTCTGAAAAACCAAAAAATACAATATTTCTTCCTCTCCAACTCCAAGTAAATACATGAATGTGTACTTAGTAGCTGAAAGCACGAGAACTTTCTGGCATTTTCTCTCACATGGCTTCTTATCTGATCCCACATCAACAACAAGCGTGTCAAATTTGCTTCCTGGTCTATTTTTATATTCTAATGAACAGACTTGTCAGGCCATATGGTAATCAGCTTCAAGCAAAACAAACCCAGAAGAAGCAGAGGTCAGTTCAGGTCAACAAAACCATCGGACAAACCTTGATCTCCTCCTGCAAAGTCGCTGCAAGGCGGCTCATATTCAAACAAGTACTCAAACTGCAAATCCTCATCAGGGTAACTGGCTCGACTGAGGTCTTCCTCCAGATCCTTTTCGTCGTAGAAGGAGGTCATCTGTCTGATTTTTTTTTTTTTTTTTTTTTTTATTATCTACCGACTCCTCCGGGAGCAGAGCTAGGGATGTGCGCGGCTTATGCCAGTTCGGTGTTTGAGCGTCAAATCCCGCATCGGGTGAGCTGGAAGAAGGTGAAGCAGCGCACAAGTTTCCTGTTTCAGTTCTCCGCGGTTATTTTCAGAAGGAAGGCGGGTCTATTTACGAACTGAGCAACAGAGTGTGAGTTGTTGTTGTTTTTTTTAAGTTTCAGTGCATCACCACGGCCCCTATCACGCCACCCCCGCCTCAGAAGATGCGTCGAGCAGCAAAGAGCAAAAGTGCAAACAGGTGTTGTGTCGCGCCGACTTCCAACCTCCCTGTCGAAATGCGCGTCTACTCTGTAATTTACGGCAGAATTTAAAGAGATGGTGCATTCAAAATAAGCCGGACATTGGGGGACTCTACATTAAAACGCCTTGAAAATGATGAAACATCGTTTCAAATGATACAATAGAATTGAATTAATTCAGCACATCTTACGTAACACTCTTGGCTATAATATGTGATATATATCTTGTTCTAATCTTATTATAAAGGCAGATTTCGAGTCTCTGATTCGTTCTTGAAAAATATTACCAAACTAAGCTCTACTATCTCAAGCAGGAAGCTGGAAATAATTATTCATACTTTTGTTTTTCTCCACTATTGGGTTATTACAATGCACATGTTGAAGTAAAACTTACATTTTGATCCAAATGCTGCTGCCAGGCTTCCAACTAAATTCCCACAAGTTTTGACATATGACTTCCTGTTTATTTTGGAGTGCAATTAAATTGTATTTAATTTACTAGCAGAGCTCTTTGTATTCTATCAGAGGGCTTCTGCACTCATAGGTTCCTGGCAGAATGTGTTCCTCATACCAATGGGTTCTCATATGAGAGCCCATTGGTATGAGTTTTATTAAATAAACTAAAACAGCGGTCATACTGTCTATTCAGGTCACTGTTTAAAATCAATTAGACTTGAAATACCGTATAATAACTCTTAACATGTTTGTAATCTACACTGCTTTAAGCAAAATTTTAAAACAAAGATTTGAGCTTGACCAACTATTGCTGCCAATAGTGTTGGTTTATTGATTTAGAATGGACATCTACCCTAATATATTTTGTGCCTGAAACAAAAAAAACTGAATATTACTGAAATTGTAATGTAATCTGCTGATTTACTTCTTATGTCATGATATTTTTTCTTCCTAAATAAAACTTAAGCTTTGTTGACATGATAACTGTGCCAAAATAGAGCCACATAAATCTTCACACTTTTAAACAGAAATGCAACAAAAACATTGGCTTGCCCAATTTATATGTGCTTTCATTTAATATTTACATAGGATTTCTTAATTGGGAATTTTCTGATAACTCTGATTTCATTTTCACATTTTACTTTTAGAGCAAAAAGCAATTCTTAAAAAAATATGTTTTAAAAGCATAGAACTGATTGATGTTTCAGATTTTATTTTATTAAGCCAATCTACAGCAGTAAAACCACCTGAAAAAGACCAAGAATGTTAAAAAGCTTGCTTGAGACCTCTTTGAGATTTGGTCAAACCATTTTAGAACTATTTTTGAACTGATTATGTGCAAGGTGTACTTGAATGCACCATGCCTTCACTGCGTGGAGTCATAAAACATTGTCTAGATGCGCAAGGACTTTGACGGCAGAGTCAGGCTGGTGGGGAAAAGGTTGAACGATTGAACTCTGCTCGACACAGAACACCAGGAAGCGAATTAACACCTCTGGTCACCAGAGGAGCGATCTGCGCCGTTTGACGCACGGCCTGGTGCTGCCCCCGGGTGTCTGACGGGTTGCAGCGGCAATCAGCGGAGCTTATCGCGTGTCATTCACCTGTTGCAAAACTAAAAAGGCATCTGTAAGGGTATTACAACCCACAAATATAGTCGTAACCTTAAAACTTTTCAGTTTCTTAACTTTTCCAAACATTAATGTCTTCGTCTGGATTGGATTTCCTAGTCAGACGCTCCTTGCTGACAGAGGAGAACCTCGGGTTCTCCTCGGGGTATCCCCGGATTTACGCACGACGCAACAACATGCAGCTACACCCCTTACACCCATGGCTGCAGAGGTATGTGCTCTGTCAGCAATAACTCCTATCTGTGAACATACTCATATTTAATATTCTCATTTATTTTGATTTTGGTTTATTTTGAAGTATTTTGTGCAAAAACAAGAACAATTCAAAGCGAAACTTATCTCCAAAGTTAGTTAAAAGCAGAAAATATGTCTTTAAGCCATAAACTGTTCATACAAAACAAATTCCAGTTCATCACTTCAGTCATGCTAAGCTGCATTTACAATAAAAAAAATCAAATTGATTGATTACCAGATAATCACAACACTTCAGCAGTACCTTGATCCATGGACCTCATCATGTGGTACTGCGCCAGCCTCCAATTCTCTCTAAACATCTGGAGAAGAAAGCGGAAAAAAAGGAAAAATACTAAAAAAGTATATATAAGCAGTTAAAAAAATTACTCTCCTTGAAAAAGCATAGCACAGAAGACGTTCTTCGGTTAGATGTTGCGAGGAGAGAAAGAAGAAAAGAAAAATCTTCGTTTGTTGTTTAAAAACTTGAAAAAGCGGCGCAAAACTCCCTTTCAGAGTTAAAGAGCGTGCGTCCGCCTCGGCTTCAGCAGCGGTTCTGCTCTGAGGTCCCCCCTTTCCTCGAGCTCTGTGAGGATTACTTAAGCATCGAGAGCGGCTTCCTTCCTCGCTCTGGGTGTTTATAATGCTCCCATGCTGTAAAATAACGGGATTCCCTCAGTGTTTCCTCCTGTTTGTGCGCGTTTGCCATGGAAACCTGGAGCCGGTCCATGTCCGAGACTCAGGGCTTTCCTGCAAAGCCCCACACTCAGGAATCCATGACGTCTCCTGCTCCCGCGCCAAGGCATTTCTGCGGCTTCTCTCAGACAGTAGCACACAAGAACTTCATTGTAGGAGATGAAGAAATTACTGTTAGGACACTGAAGGAAAGAGAATAAAAAAGAAGTTTGATTACGGAACGTACGATATAAAATCATCACAAAGTTTTAGTTCTTTTCCTTCTTTTTTCTTCTTCTTCCTTTTGTGAATGTAAAAGTCCAAACAAAACTGAATTGTTGAATAAAGGCAAAGTCTGAGCAACAAGCTTTGGATTGTTTCCATTCAAGGAAAAACTTATGTTTTTTTCCATGACTGTGTTGGAAATCATCTTAATAATTGGACTGGAATAAAATCTGAACAAGATCTGACCCCAGCCAGGAAGAGGACACATAGAAAATGTTGTATAATCCGATTTTCAATGGGAATGAAGGCATTTCCGATTGAGCTGGAGGTTTTGCCCGCATCTTTTTCATTTGATGAAAAATGTAGCTGCATTAGTGCTGCAAACAAACACACCTAACGTGACATTTCTTTTCATTCTCCACCTAATCAGGTACATAGAATCCAGAGCAACACATTATTCTGAAATTGAAAGAATATTGCACGTTTACAAATGAAATTCTGCAATATTGTGTACATTGTATGCAGCCCCCTTTTACTTTGATACCCCAAAATAAAATCTTTTTTTTTTCATAAGTCATCAAATTAATAAACAAAGTGAACTTTTGCGTGATTAATATCTCTGTATAAATGCAACTATTATTATTCTTTGAAGGCCACAAGAGAACGTTATTGATGTCTATCTATCTATCTATCTATCTATCTATCTATCTATCTATCTATCTATCTATCTATCTATCTATCTATCTCATTTTGAAAGGCATTGCATGTGTCTACAGATGAACAGCTCCATTTCTGTTTTGTTTCTGTTATTTTGATGGGAAGGTTATCACATATTGGTGTGGCTTTAGTTTTATATCCAGCTTCCAGAACAGACTATTCTAGAAAAGCATCTAAACAATGGCTCACTAACATGTGTAGCCCAGCCTCAGCTGCACAAGCAGAACTGGAAGTAATCTCCGCATCTGTTTTGTCACAGCTTTAACCACAGCGGCTGATCCTGAGTTTACGTCTGTTTTCTCAGTCCCAGGTTTTTCTGTGAGGAAGTGTGTGAACTGAAGGAAGCAATCAGAGGATCTGTGTTAGACTGAGACATGGATTAGTCTGAGCGAAGGGAGCCTGCGTAAGACGGAGCACCGAACAGGGCTGCTGCAGTGAGCGTGTAAACCACAGGGGCCGGAGCTCGAAATGTTGGGGAGAACCTCGCAACAGCCGAGTCTACCAGATGGAAACTCCTCCGCAGTTATAGAGCACTTATGCAACTCAAATGATGAATGAGTAAAATGATCACGGCAGCCGCTTGAGAAAGGAAAATTGCTAGTGTCCAGACGGTCGAGGTTTTCCTTTTTCAGACATCCCATGTTGGATTTTCCGTCACTGTAAAACAGCTCATTGGGGTAGATCCGTCTGGGTCAAAGCTCTGTCCCGTTTCACTTCTCCAGGAGGAACAAGGATTGTAAATCCTATGAGTCTGATATGAAAACGGCCGACTTTCACATGGAGAGAAATTCAAGAGGCAAAGAGAAAAGTCAACTTTTAAATGTGATGCTTTCTGGTCTAGTCTCAGCTTTCATTTCAGCATTAGAGAGAAAAGTCTGTTGGTATGTCTCCACAAACAGACACAAGTATTATGAATCAACGTTGACATCAACAGGAAATGATACATGTAATTAGTAAAGATTTTAAATTGAGAATAAGTGGGATCATAAATGAACTCAGTGTATTCATTAATATCTTAAAGGGGAAGTGCATTGCCAGTTAACCAATGCTATAAGTGTTCTAGTGTTTAGTATTTGCTTATATTTAACACTTTGTCAAGATTTGCGGTGGAATGAGGTGAGGCAGAAGCAGCACACTCAGGCCTTAGGGAATGAAATGATGATTTAATGTCGAATCCAGAAATACAAAGTTCAAATAATCCAGGCAGCACCGAGAAAGCGGAAGGCTAAGGCTCAACAACTGGTAGCAAACTGGAAACACAAAGGAACAGGCATAAATCAGACCATATGACAAGACAGATAGACAAGGCCCCAAAGAACATGGATCACAAGGTGGCATTAAATACACAGAAGGTAATCAGGGAACGAGACACAGCTGGGAACAATCAAGGGGTAGACAAGACAACACTGAGACTCAATAAACTGAAAACGACACAAAAACCTAACTTAGAGAAAAACCAAATCCTTACACACTTGTCCTCTGAGATCCCATTGTCTAGCAGTCTTACCCGATTCTGTATTTTGTCAGCATTTTCTCATTCCTAATTATTCAATTAAAGCGCGTTGAAGTAGAACCATGTCTCAAAGTTGCAGGATATGGGCCCTTGAGAACCAGAGTTTACCACCTGAGATCTAGAATGAGTGAGAAATAAGTCAGTCAACATGTTTATGAAGCACATTTAAGACCCCAGATGGACCAAAGTGGATGGATGGATGGAAAACTGTAGAAATGACAGAGACTGACTCTTTTTCTACTGTAGTTTTTAACTTGTGTGCAGGTTAAGAACTATAGTGGAAAGAGACCCAGAATAGCCCTGAGTATCAGAAATAATATATGAATCAATGTTGCATAACTGTATTGAGTAGAAGCTGACAAATATGACACTTTTTATGGTCAATAAGGACATCCAATAGTTGAAATCCATTACCCTAATTGTCTACTTTTTATTTTACTTGGCTGATGTCATGTCTCT